AGCGCAATAATCTCCGCATAGTTTGAAGAAGTCGCGACCAAAGTTTGCTTTTGTGATTGCCAAGAGATCGCAGTTCCACCAAATGTGAAAACATATCCAGTTTGCGATCTAGCTTTATGCGGATCAGACAGATATCCTGCATCTGTAAAACCAACTAGACCAACCTCGGGGTTTCTAGAATAATATAATCCAAATTCAATCGAACCTTGAAGATAATGGAATATATGCATTATTCCATTCTAATGCCGGCGCGTTGGTGATGAACTATACCTTGTAAGTAAGTTAGTAGCAAAAACTATATCTGGTCTAGTACAATTTGCAAGATACATAAGGGCACCAATAGCGCTCATATAAGGCACTTCAAGGCCTAATATTTTTTCGTTACCTTCAAAAGGTCGAAATGGATCCTTGTCAACATCCAGTGGTCTATTGACCATAGGAGTACTCAAAGAAGTCGCTTTATCCATACTAAAGCGTTTCAACACCCTTCTGGTGTAATTTGATTGATGCACAAATATTCCATCTTGGAAATGCTCTATCTGGAGTCATAGACAAAATTTTGTCTTTCCAAGATCTTTCATTTCAAACTCATCTTTCATATGAGCTCTAGCATCATCAATCTCCTTTTGAGTTCCAATCATGTTCAAGTCATCAACATATACATCGATGATCACAAGTCCTGATGCGAATTTCTTAATAAACACATAAGGGCATATCGCATTGTTGACGTAACCTTTACTCAACAAATACTCACTTAAGCGATTATACCACATGCATCCGGGTTGCTTTAATCAGTAAAGTGATCGCTGTAGTTTGACCGAACATAGCTCTTTAGATGCTTTAGGCATCTTTGATCCTTGAGGGATCTTAAATCCTTCAAGGATTTTCATGTATATGTCACTATCAAGTGAACCATATAGGTATGCAGTCACAACATCCATCAAGTACATCTCTAAATTATAAGAGAGCCGCTAGGCTCATTAAGTACCTGTATGTGATTGCATCCATGACCGGGGAATATGTCTCATCATAATCTATTCTCGGGCTTTGAGAAAATCCTTGTGCCACAAGGCGAGCTTTATACCTTGTGACCTCATTTTGCTCATTTCTCTTTCTTACAATGACCCATTTGTATCCGACCGGTATTACATCTTCGGGTGTAATAATTATCGGTCTGAATACGTTCCGTTTATTAAGGGAGAATATCTCATCCCTCATGGCCACTTGCCATTTATCCCAGTCAAGCCTTCTTTGGCACTCTGACACAGAACTTGTATCTTGATCATCATTTTCATGATCGATCTCTTTGGAAACAGAAAAAGAGAACATTCTATAATTGTCTTCTATTTAATTTCTAGCCCATAATTTTCCACTTTGGGCGAAGGAGATCGAAATCTCATATTTTTCTGCTCTAGATTCGTCTTCAGGAAAAATCTCTTTACCTAGTTCTTCAGGAACTGGTTCAGATATGTCTTCTGGATATATACCTTCATTTGGTTCTTCAGGAACCTTTTCACAAATGTCTTCAGGACATTTGGCTTTATTTGGTTCTTCCAGAACCTTTGCTTCCAGTTTCTTTCTCTTTCGAGAATTTTTATCTTTTGATCCTACTGGCCTCCCGCGCTTTAGCTGAACCGGTTCATTTGCTCTATTTACATCAATATGTTCTTCAGGAACATTTATCTTTGATGGAACATTAGCAGCAGGGATATAGGACTTTGTCACCCTTCTTGTATCAGTGAATGCATCAGGTAACTGGTTTGCCAATCATTGTATATGTATAATTTTCTGAACTTCCACCTCGCATTGGTTTGTAGGAGGATCAAGATAAGCCAAAGTTTTTGTACACCATGTGATATTATTTGGTGATTCTCTCAATCCTCCCCCTAACACAGGGAATTCACTTTCATCAAAGTGGCAATCGACAAACCGTGCCGTGAACATATCACCAGTTACCGGCTCAAGATACCTAATTATACTTGGTGACGAATACCCGATATATATTCCCAATCTTCTTTGTGGTCCAATTTTTGTTCTTTGAGGTGGCGTTATAGGGACATACACCGCACACCCACACACGAAGATGGGATACATCTGGCATCTGACCAAATGCTAATTGTATGGGGGAATATTCATTATACGCACTTGGTCTTACCTGGACCAATGCCCCAGCATGCAATATAGCATGTCCCCATACAGTGATTTGAAGCTTTGTTCTCAAGATTAACGGTCTTGCAATTAATTGCAACCTCTTAATCAATGACTCAGCCATGCCATTTTGTGTATGAACATGCGGAACCGGATGCTCAACATCGATTCCCAAAGACATACAATATGCATTAAAGGCCGCTGAAGTGAATTCACCAGCGTTATCAAGCCTGACTTTCTTTATGGCATAATCAGGGAAATGCGCTCTCAACCTGATTATTTGGGCAATGAATCTTGCGAAAGCCATATTTCTTGTGGTCAAAAGACACACATTTGACCATCTACTTGATGCACCAATCAATACCATGAAGTATCTAAATGGCCCGCATGGTGGGTCAATCGGCCCACATATATCACCATGTATTCTCTCTAAGAATACAGGGGATTCATTCCCAACTTTGGCTGGCGAGGGCCTACATATGAGTTTTCCTTGAGAGCATGCCTTACATGAAAACTCCCCCGATTGAAAAATCATCTGGTTTTTCAATGGGTGGCCATTCAAATTTTGTACAATCCTTCTCATCATGACTGAACCAGGATGGCCTAACCTTTCATGCCATACTCTAAAAGTGCTGGTAAACTTTTGTTTTACCGCAACATGTGATTCAGCCATGGTTATCTTTGTGCAATATAATCCGGAGGACATCATTGGTAACTCTTCCAACTGATGTTTACTCTCCGTTGTAATGCAAAGATATTCAGAGCCATTCTTATTAATAGTCTCAATATGATATCCATTCCTGCGGATATCTCGAAAACTTAATAAGTTCCGTTGAGACTTGGGGGAGTATAATGCATCTTGCACTACAAACTCTGTACCCCTTGGCAATGAAAAACTCGCTCTTCCGGAGCCTAGTATAATCTTTGCAATACCAGTTATAGTACTCACGCTTCCGGTGGAGACTTTCATTTTGAGACAGAAGAAATACTTTTTATCTTTAAGTAATGTATGTGTCGTAGCACTGTCTGCTAGACAAGTATCTCCATCCCTAGACAAGTATCTCCATCCCGAATCTCAAAGTGTGACATCTTCTGGACCACAATACTTATAAGTAATGAAATAATTAAAAGAACATCAATTTAAAAACAACAGATTATTATATTACATCAAAAACCTGTAGCATAAACATACTATATTATACATATTAAAAGCAAGATTAAGAGTTTGTTATTCTTATCTCTATCAAGGAGACACTATTATCGATTTAAGTTTCTTTGATTTTGTTGATACTTCAGGATCAACAAGAAAGTCAGCAACATCAAGATGAGTGTCATCACTCAAGCCATCAAAGGAAGTTCCAGCTTCATCTAAGATAAAATTGGTCTCTGCATCTTTTTCTTTGGCCTTTTGTGATTTTGCATTCAGATCGGCAAAATGTTTTGGCGTACGACACGTCCGTACCCAATGCCAATTCAAGCAGCATCTGAAGCAAGGGGTGTCACCTTGTCTTCTAACGTCCCGACCATCACCACTTTCCCTTCCTCGTCCACGCCCTCGACTGCGACCGCGACCGCGGCCTCTACTGTGTCTGCGATCACGTCGTGGCTTCTTATCACTTAGACTGGATGATGCAACATTCGCTTCAGGGAATGGCATAGATCCAGTTGGACGAGTCTGATGGTTCAACACAAGGAGGATCTGCATCAACTCCAAGTACTGGGTGAATTCTCTTACCCGGTATTGCTGCTGGAGGATTACATTTCCAGGATGAAAAGTGGAGAGAGTTTTCTCTAACATATCATATTCACTGATATATTCTCCACACAACATCATCCTAGAGGTGATTCTGAACAGCGCGGAATTATATTCACTCACACTCTTGTAATCCTGGAATCGGAGATTCAACCACTCGTGCCTCGCTTTCGGTAAGATCACATACCTCTTGTGATCGAACCGACTCTTAAGCGATAGCCAAAGATCTGCCGGATCTTCTTTCATGATGTATTCATCTTTTAAACCATCATGGATATGGTGGCGTAAAAAGATCATGGCTTTTGCCTTAGCCTCATCCGACGTCGTTTTCGACTTATCGATAGTGCTCAAGAGACCATTTCCCTTTAGATGCAACTTTGCACCTACTGCCCAGGACATATAATTCTTCCCACACAAGTTAAGGTCGGCGATCTCGAGCTTTGACAAATTTGACATTATTACTGAATAACAAAAACTTAACCCATTTATTTGTATAAAATTTAGTTATATAAAAAAAAATTGAGCATGGTAACGGCATAATATAAGACAATAATCAAAAAAGCAATATAAGGAGGCAGAGCCTACCATGCATTTGCTGATTGCATAATAAATAAATCAACAAAGATGAGAATTTTAATCTCCCACACAATAAATAAATAAATAAAGGATTTTCTTCAAATTAACCCGCCAACTGGTTTTTTCTGCAAATCAACCCTCGATTGTCTGAAAATGCAAGTCAACCCGCAACGTCTTGGTCAACCCGCTATATAACCCGCGGTTATATCAATGACGTGGCAAAATCAATTGCCGTTTGAAAATCAAACGGATTTTAAAATGCTGCGTATCAAAATGGAAAAAAGACATTAGTTAAAAGTTGCGTGTAGTTTTGAACGAAAAAAACAGCAGGGTTATTACAGAACCATTGCAATCGAATTGGGGAAAACTTTCTCAAATCGAACTTGTCCGATTGAGTGACGGTGAGAGATTTCGTGAATAATTGAGAGATCAATTATGCTACTGGATTGGTGAGGGTTTATTGATTAACGTATTTGAGAGCCACTTCGTCGAGGTTCCATTATTCGACGAGTTTTTCTTCTTAATGCCAAATCGCGATTTCGAGAGTATTGTGTTCTTCACAAATCTATATTTGTTAAGGATGTCGACAGTGTCCAGGTATAGATCTTTAAAATTCAAACCGTCAATGTAGTTACTTTGTTAGACAATTAACAAATTGATTTTGAGGGTCAAATTTAACCGACGCTTATTGTTCTCGTGCTTGCAGCTTTGATTTGTTCTTGTATGTTGGTGGTTACTGGTCAGGGGAGGGATTATATTATGGTGGAGAGGCTGAAATGGTAGGAAAGATAAGTTCGGACACATTTACCTTAGCGTCGGTTGCTATGTATGTGAAAGAGCTTTATGGGTATGAGGAAAATATGAGGAAAGTTTCGTGGTTTCCACCAGAAACACCTGATAAGAAAGAAGATATAGTTGATGATGAGATATTAAGAAGAAAAGTGATGCACTATGCTTTGGGTTCAGAAGCTATGACATTATATGTGGTTAGGGAAGATGATCCATATATTGGACGATATTTAGGCATCAATATCGTACGGTTATCAGATGAGATTCCTGAAGAAGGCAATAGTAGTTCAGATTCAGAGGCTGCTGATGATGATCATACTGTGGAGCAAGAAGATGAAGAAGAGCAGCATGATAGTAGTGGTGAAAGTGATTTGGCCGCTGTTGTAGCACAAGTAGATGAGAGTAAGTGTAAAAGTTTTAGGTTGGGGCAAGAATACAGCACGATTGAAGCTTTTAAGAGGGCTATTACTCAGTATGCAGCAAGGAAGAGGAGAGACCTTAGTTATCACAAGTCAGATAGTAAACGTGTAGTTGTAATATGCTCAGACAAGAAGTGTCCATGGAGGATCTCTGCATCTATCAACAGCAGCAGTATTAGAGTGGTTGTTAGGGCTTTCAACAATGAGCATAACTGCACTTGGCAAGGAGAAGTGTCTTTACTTACCAATGCTCGAATTGCTGATATCTACATAGAAGAATTCAGAATCAATCCGCATATCTCAGCAAAGCAACTGCAGAAGAAGCTTATGAAACACAACATTAATGTATCCGAGACAATCTGTGAGCAGACTCGATTAAGATGCTTGCAAGAATTTGATGACGAGCAAGCAAAGTCTTTTGCAAGAATCTACGATTATGTGGCTGAGTTGAGAAAGACAAACCCTGGATCAACAGTTGAATGTGAGGTAAGGGAAGCCAAATTTCATAGGTTCTATGTTTGTTTTCATGGTCTGAAAGTGGGATGGAGGTCGTCATGCAGGAAGATAATCAATATAGATGGAACATTTCTGAAATGGAGAATGATTGGGCAGTTGTTGGTGGCATGTGGAAGAGACCCTAATGATCAGATGTTTCCCATAGCTTGGGGCATTGTAGATGTTGAGAATAAGCCAAATTGGGAGTGGTCATTTGAACATTTGGCTGCAGACTTGGACCTGGAAACTGGGAATGGGCTAACTCTTGCTAGCGACCAGTGTAAAGGGCTCATTGGGGCAGTTAAAGACGTGCTACCGTTTGCAGAACACCGGTTATGTGCGAGACATGTCCACGCAAACTGGAAAAAAAATATTCAGGAGCCGACTATGAAGACTTGTTTTGGGGAGCTGCAGATTCTTATTACCGTGCTGCCTTTAAGAGAAAGATGAATGAATTAAAACACCTATCTCAGGCGGCCTATGATGACTTGAAGATATCTATTTATTGTCCATGGTCAAGGTGAGTATCCTATATGTACATTTATCATTCTGCAATTTTTCAAGTTTAATAAGTAATATAGTTTCTTATATTGGCAAGGCATACTTTAGTGAATATGCTAAGTGTGATGCGGTTGAAAACAATCTAAGAGAGTCATTTAATGCAGCTATTCAGATTGCAAGAACCAAACCCGTGGTTGAGATGCTTGAAGACATTAGGAGATGTGTGATGTCTTCTAATGAGAATAAACGGGCTGAGGCGCAGAAAGCAAAAGGAGTTTACACTCCTAGAGCAAAGGCTTTGTTGGACGAGCAGATCCACAAAACGAAGGACTGTATCCCTCTAAGTTGTGGTTTAGGCGACTATGAAGTTGCCTACTTTAACGACATGTTTGTAGTGCAAATGAGAGGTGATATAAGTTGTGGCTGTAGAATGTACAAAGTTAGTGGAATCCCTTGCTGCCATATGATTTATGCCCTGCGTATGGAGAGACAAGCTGATCAAGACCCTCAAACTCTACTTTCTCATTGGTTCACAGTAGACAAGTTAAGGAGTTGCTACGCTAATCCATTGAAGGCAGTTGGAGGCATGAACATGTGGGAACGCACTGGTTCGCATGTAAATCCTCCTCCATATAAGAAGCCTCCTGGTAGACCTCCAAGAAAGAAAAGAAAGAGAGAAGCCGGTGAAGCAAGACCAGGAATGATTTCCAAGAAAGGAACTAAAATTGTAAGGCTTATCAATCTTCTGTTCTGTTTAATGTTTTCGTAAACACTAATAATTTTATATACTTTTGATTGACAGCATTGCGGCCTTTGTGGACAAGAAGGACATAACAGGCTATATTGTAAGAGTCTACCTGTTGATAAGCCACCAAAGCAACCAAAAGGGAGGCCAAGGCTTCATCCAGTTGCATCAGCATCATCTTCTCAAATGCCAGTTATATCCGCATCATCTTCTCAAGCACCGGACGAATCAACAGGACTTGTTGCACAAAGCCAGCCGATGGAAGATCTTCCAAGCATTTCAGATGCTCTCACAAGAAGGGGTCGGGGAAGGCCTCGCAAAAGCCAGTTTTCTGGTGCTTCATCCTCTCAACCAAACCCTACTACTCGGCAAGAACCTATCTATGACAATGGCCCAGTAAATATTCCGAGGGTAAGTTCTACATCTTGTTGATTATGTGTGATCGCTAGAAATTGGTAAGCTGAAGTTGTTGGTGTCTTTACAGGAAGGTGTTGGTCTCTTTACAAGCTTAACTGGTGATGACTAAATCTCTATTGGCTCACGTGTGATTGATACAAATGACAACACCATCCTACCAAGCTCTCTCTATCGTTCAAGAGAGAAGAAGAAATTGGCTGCTCGCAATCGTCTAAGAAAAGTGAGAAGTGACCTCTGTTGTCTAGAACTCTGTTGTCAAAAAGTCGTGTTTCTTTTAGCGTTTCATGTTATCTAAAACTTTGTTGCTTATGTATGACTTGGTTAAGTTTATAAAACTCTGTTGCTTGTTCTTTTTATGTGTGTCTAAAACTCTATTGCTTATGTCAAACTGTCATGTGTTTTGATATGAAACTTTGTATGATGTGTTTGCTTTTCTGTTTTACTCTCTATTCAGTATTGGTTATGCTTGTCAAACACACTTGGTTTACTAACACATTCAAAGTAGATCCTTACAAAACACTTACAAAAGACAAGATGAGATAAATAGGAAAGTTATAATATTACATAATAAGATTAGATAAATGGGAAAGTCAGAGAGTAGTACATATTAGACCCTTACAAAACACTAGAAAATTAAGGGGTTACAACCGTTTACTAACACAATATGTCTTAACCTTAAACTTCGATGACATCTTCAAATAAGGTCTTACAAACACAATATGTCTTACTTAAGACAAATAAGCATGCCAAGTAAGAGGATAACAACACATGCGGCAATCACAACCTGCATCTCAAAGCCACTTCTCTTCTTCTTCATCTCGGCCAACTCCATTTCCATCATCGCAATCTTTTTCGTAGTCTCAATCTCCACATCCTTCAACTGCTTGATTTCCTGAGTAGCCATATAGAAATCATCCAAGTAAGTGAACAAATCCATCTTCTCCGGTACTTCGCCAGCCTCGACACCCATGAGACTCAGCTCTTCCATGACTGCCTCGTCCCACCACTTCCAAATGTGAGAGTCTCCGTCGCCTACGTTTGGGCAAGTGTAGAACCTTCTTCCTGGGTCAATCTGGGAATGACAAGTATCGATTATAGCCCGAGCTCCACAGTAGCATTCCTTCATTAGCCCATATTCTTTTATTGCAATTCTTGAACCGTCTCTCCTCCCATAGCTTCTTCCACTTGAATCCGAAGTTGAAGGTTGAGTATAGTTGTGAATCGCCATATCTGTTGCACAAAAAGAGAAACCAACACATTCTCTATCAATGAAGCACCATAATCTCAATAACTACAATTTTTAGTGGTTTCACAACAACACACACAAACTAAAAACCAGATTTCAAAGCTGAGAATACACAATATTGACCTTCAGATTAACTCATTATTACTGCACGGTTTCTCTGTCTTTAAAAAATATAACCACATATGAACTAATTAAATACAAACTAAATGCTTTCATTCCCTAATAAAAACCTCTCAAATCCTACATTCCACAAATCACATTCAGCGTACATCAAAATGTCCAATCCGATATCCATTGGAACAAACGAAATGCAACAACAAAAAAAATTTACTAACCTTAGATCCAGATGTGTTAGTCTCAGACTCTGATTTCTTTAACAATAGAAGCGGAAGTAGAACAAGAGAAGAAGCTTGATGGATTCAGAGAATGGATTCAAAGAGCAAACCCTAATTTCTATTTTTCCCCAATTTCCCGATAGCAATGTGTCTGTGAACAATAAAAAGGGTCGTGGCTCTTTTAAAACAACATGATTTTCGATAAGGTGACACTGTACAAAACGCACCGTTTTTGATTCCGTCATCGATATAACGGACGATTATAGTGAGGGTTATATAGCAGGTTGACCAAGACGTTGCGGGTTGACTTGCATTTTCAGATAATCGAGGGTTGAGTTGCAGAAAAAAACCAGTTGGCGGGTTAATTTGCAGAAAACCCATAAATAAATAAATATGATCTGAGGCAACATAGTCTGCCATGTGATCATTTTTTATTATGGAGGCAGAGCCTGCCATAACAATCAGCTCGGAGGAGACATAGCCTACCATCCCGGCATAATAAATAAACAATATAATTATTTAACCGTGGAGGCAGTGCCTACCATAACGATCAGCTCGGAGGAGACATAGCCTACCATCCCGGCATGATATAATTGTTTGATCGTGGAGACAGCGCCTACCATAACGATCAGCTCGGAGGAGGCAGAGCCTTTCATCCTGGCATAACATTAAACGGAGAAGGCAGAGCCTATCTTTCCGTAAATCATAATATTCAAAACAAATTGAACATAAATAAATCTTACCTCTCTGGTATATAGACAAGTCAAGAGACGGTCGTGCTGATAACGTGTTGTAAACTAATGCTTTACATAAAAAAACAAAGAAGAGCTTAAGATGTTTTGAACTTCAGAGAGAAAGAGAGAAAGATGAACATAAGAACTTTATTTCTTTCTTCTTCTGAGCTTATGATTTTACAAAGAATGAAGTCACCTATTTATAGGAAAAACCTTACTTCATAGTAAAGTAAACTAATGTATAAAGACAAAACATATAGCTAAGCATTATCCAAAATATATGGTTTAGTATTATCTAAAACTTATGGATAAACATTATTCTTTAATATACTAATATATAAAGACAAAAGCAAATAGATAATCACTATCCATTTACCACTCTATTTATTTAATTTTTAGAGAAAAACGTTTTCTCTCTGGAAAGCTGTCTTCTCTCCCAATCGACTGTACGGCGAACACCACAGCTCTCGTCTCTAAGTAATTTTACGGTGAAAAAGCGGTGGTCCGACGATGAAACTCTAACACACAAGGTACAGAGCCCTACCGTTTCTGCATAATCCCATCTGTGATCCACAAACCAATGCATAAGACCATATGATGTGTACTATAAGTGCTCTTGTCAGATTCAGTTATTTGCAACAAGGCATGAGTCTGCTTGGGCTTGAGCTGCATCCCTTTCTCCTTACCAACTAAGGTGACCCATTTAGCTCTGTCATAGAAGGTTAGAGTTTTCTTTTCCCAGTCTATGCTCGTTTTTCCAAGTTTTGCTAACCAACTATAACCCAATACCATGTCATCGTCGACCAAATCCATTAGATAGCACTCTTCGACCATTGAGGCTTCTTGGACATTGATCACTACTACTTGACAAACGCCATGACAATTTATCACTTTCCCTTGCGCAAGAATCACCTTCGATGGTCCCATTTCATGGCGAATAAGACCGAGTTTATAAGCTACTTCCCGTGACAAGAAACTGTAAGAAGCTCCTGAATCCACTTCAATCGTAACGTCTTGGTTACTCACGAGACCTTGAAGTCTCAAAGAATCATGTTGATCAGTAATGGTGGCGCTTGGGTTATTTACGGCTTGATGCCTTGAAAATCTCTCTGTATCTGGTTCCTTTGCTTTTCTGAATAGCTTAAGACACATAAATTCCCGGTTAATATGCCTTCGTTTCTCTGTGTCATCTCTAACGTTTCCTCTTGTGATAGAATGGCGATGGGGGTCATTACCGGCTCTTCTATAGCTTCTGTCACCGTCACTGATTGACACCGGTGGTATGTTTTCGCCTGCAAGCTGGGCGTCATTGACTTCTTCTACCCACTGTGCTGCATCCATTATTTGTAATAGCCCTTGAGGACATAGACGTCGAACCGCTGCTTGCAATGGAAGCTTCAGACCTTGCAAGAATATTTCTTCCACGTATGTACCCGCGACCGTAGTAGTTTGAAGACACATCTCCTCAAAACCTTTTCTATACTCGCGGACCGAACCCTTTTGTTGAATTCCCAAGTATCTATTAGGCGCCTCCTCCTTCTCTTCTATTTCATTATCCACTGGCGTGAAGCTCGGTTGCTGAACATTTAGAGCTTCCTCATTTCCCTTGTAGCCACCGTTTTTTTCTATCCACCAGACTACTTTTATTGCTTCTATGAGATTACTGGGGTGGAACTGTCTGACCTCTTCTTGCCAGGGTTGTTTCAGACCTCTCACAAAAACATCAACAATGTACTTCTCGGGTAGAAGAGCAGAGTTTTTCCTACTGACTTCAAAACTTCTTATATACTCTAAAACGGAACCTCTTTGAATAATTCCTGAGTACCTTTTAATCAGTGTTCCTTCACCTTGGTCAGTGTCTTGTCTCTCCGTGAATCTGGGGTTTTCCAATTCGAAAGTTGTCTTCATACTGTTATACTTTCCCACCCCTGTTCTAGGATGCCTTGTTTGCCCAACGCGTATCCTGGAGTCTTGTAATATCAATTTCTTAAACTTTTCCCAGTTGTTAGGAGTCCTTAATTCCCACAATTATTTGATCCATTCGCCCGTTGGACCTTGTAAGCTTCGATAAACAACCTGTAACCATTCCCTCTCAGCGATGTTGTTCTCCACACAGTAGTTCTCAAAACAGCTCACCCAATACTCCAGTTCTTTATCTAAGCCCTGTACATAACTCGTTACCTCGAGCCTCTCTTGATCCCAGAGTTTCTGTGCTAGGGAAGCTCTCATTCCACCATTGGCTTGTGAGTTTCCTCTGTTAGTATCGCTAGTCGTTTCCCTCCTTTTACTTTCATAGATGCTAGTCTTTAGCGCACTAACAGCTCTCTCATTCTTGCCGTGATTCACCAACCTCTGATCCCCTAGAATAAAAGAGTATTTCAGATCATGTTGTCTATGTGTCCCTACTGTATCCGTCATAGATCTGTTTCCTCTATCCTGAGCTCCTTCTTCTTGATTAGAAGTCTCCTTATCACGCCAAAAATGCTGGCTCTGCGCACGACTTCTGTGTCCTGCAACGCGACCCATCCCAAAGCTCTTGCAAGATTGCAGTAACTCACGCTCTTTGGCTTTTCTCCCAGATTTAGTTCGTTTCTTCAGTCTTGTATGGTTCACGCTCAAACTCTTCTTTGAAATATTTGCGGAAATCTGGAAATCTGGTCGAAGTGAAGGGTTTGTGATTTTTTTTCGAGATCTCTTCTTTCTGACCTTGTAATACTCTCGATCAGACTTGAATCGATTGCCTCTGTGATGATTTGGCACGGTTTGAACCTTGAAGAGCTCAGATTCAGAAGTTGCTTCATATGAAGACTCGCCCCCCAGGGGTTCGACAATACTCTTGAGAGGATTTCCCACTGGTTTTGATATACATAACCTTGGCAACTTATTAGGCGGAGGTTCCGGCTGCGTTTGTTCGAGTAGGTCAGACTTCACCTTATGCAGATCGGAGTGGATCTGTGTGTGTGCTGCTCGTATCTCGCTAAGCACACCTAGCACACGATCAAAACTTGACGTCATTGGCTCAGCTATCTCCTGAATTTGTTGTTGAAGTTTTTGCACCATGTCACGTTGTTTCGGGGTGAGGAGAAAGTCACCGTCGAGAGGATTCGACTGCTCTGATACTATTGATAAGCTCGTGATTTGAGCTTAACAGATAAGTGACAGAAAGGAAAGAAGATCGGAGGAAGAGTAAGATGAGAAGAGAAAGTAGAAAGGAAGAAGTTGGGAAAATCCCTAAAATGATAATATGATCCAAAGATCGTTCTTTCGTTCTACAGTTCCGACTTAAGTACCACAATAAAAGGCTTTTACAAGCAAAAAACATAAAAGGCATAAGCCGCCCAATAAAGGTTTACGAGCCCATTTCCCTGACTTATCAAAAAGGAGACGATGATGGATCGCATTTTCAGATTTGTTGAAAGCTGTTCCTCTGGAGACTACATGCCGAATCACGTTTCGGCTTTGCACAACATGAGCCATTTTTCGATTTCAATGAGATTCTCTGCGACGAGGGAATACAAGAGATTGAAGTAAGAAAAAACCATAGAATGCGACGGATATTAGAGAAAAGGAGATGATAAGGAAGAATCACTAGTGAATCGGCAAAAGAAATCCTCTGCAAATTTCATATCATGGGCATCAAGCATGTCATCCTCAGAATCCATGATCGACTAAGACAGGGAAACGATATTATAGATAAATCCCAAATCAGAAATTCACCAAGGATTCAGATAAGGGTAGAAACAGTCCAAGAAGCTGAGAAAAGAGATAGAAGGGTCACCGCTTGAGTCTGGAATCCGTGGATAAGTCGACGGAGGAGGGAGAAGATAGATTCAGAGAGAATAGAGGAAGAGACAATAAAGAGAGAAGATGATTCTTTGATTGATTTCCCAAATGGGTAAAGTGATTTACAAATAGTGTTTGTCGTACCAACTAAACAACAAATACATAACCGAGATAATTGGGTTTGATATTAAAATAGAACATAACCAAATCAGCAGATAAACCAAGAGAATAATCGATATGGCTTTTCCAATAGCATCGATGAAACCCGAAGAGAAACTTTAAAAAGAGAAGGACAAATTGCTTGAATAGTTTCTTTTCTTTTTGGATAGCTTTTTTTTTTCCCCTATATTTTAATGTATCATTTATAAATTTTGTTTATAGTTGAATACCAAGATTAATAGATTTGTTTTTTTATTAAATTACACATCTTAAGGAATTTAAGTAATAATCATTCTAACTTTACTTTTATGAAATAAGTTTTTTTGTTAAATCTTTTTATGAAATATTATTTCATTTTTATTTTATGATATTTTTTGTAAATCTAACTAATAAAAACAAATTATTGGTATATTGCTCGAGCGATAACGAAAACAACTTTTTAAATTTTTAAATTTTTCTTAAAGAAAAAAATATAGGACATGATTGATAACAATTGTAGCGTATGTTTTTGCTATAGAAATGTGGTTGTAGATTTTTTTGATGTAGCTGTATATTTTATTTCTTTAAAACATTAGCTGTAAAATTGTAAAAAAAAAATAATTTTAAAACATATTGGATAATTTTAAAAATATAAAAAATTTAAACGGATTATCCGTAGATCGAATCTCATATATATAATTTATTATTTTATGTGTTTCTCTAAATTATTCATTCGTAAACAGATGATTATGTGAACAAAAACACATATTAGACGAAACTATGGACAATCATAATCAAATCAAATATAACAGAATTATATCTAGGAAAATACATAACACTTTGCATAAAACTTATTAACTCATATATAAAGCTTTACGGGTTGGGTTGATATTATTAAGACATACATTTCAAAACTATCAAACTAAAACAAAAATATGGCCCACCAATAATACAATACCTCTAAATCTAATAAATAAATTAACTCATACAACAAATAAATTCAGTCAATATATTAACCGTATATATAAAATAAACTATGAATTTCAAATTAACCATGATTTTCAAATATTAAGGTATTTAGCATCGATGAATCGAGCTGAATTTTGGATACAAACTAGATCTTTCAGTTATCTTTTATTTGAAAGTTGTTTGTAGTTGATCTAATGATGCGATCTAAAGTTATATTGATTTTCGTGAAACTATCCAAACCACTCGGTTCATTAAAGCAGAAAAATAAAATTTTAGTTTTTTTTTATTTTGACTTGGTTTTAGAAAAAAATTATAATTTTTCTATATATTATTTTAGTGGAACTGTTTTTTTTTAAGTATAATATTCAAAAAAATCCTGTTGATAAAAAAACAAAATCCTAATCTATAGAAAATCGAAATTCAAGGTGCATTTCTACGGGTTGTATAGATATATTATACAAATTATTTACATATATCTTTTATATTTATAGAATGGTCTTAATTTCTTAAACATTATAAACGATATGAGATAAATTAAAATAAGTTATATTTAATGGGTTTAAAACATAGAAATGAAAACAAATAAGTTAAAATTTAATCGGTTTGTATATTATAAATAAAAAATATAATAAGTCTATACCAAAATAATACATCACGTACAAAAATGTATTTCTCTAGCAAATCAGAATTGAAGATCAGAATAGAATGTAATGAGACGATATTGACGAGATGAAATTTTGACTAAAAAAATACATAAATCTATTCATAAACCTAATTAACTCAAATATTAATGTATTTTCGGATTGTGTGGATACATTATACAAATATTTACATTCATCAACTATATTTGGTGAATATTTTAAATTTTCTACACAAGTTCTTATTTTCTAATAACAACTAACAATAATTTGAATTTCATATTTTATTTTATATAATCAAATTATCAATATTTTTTTCTTATATTTAAAAATCTATCAAATTTTAAATTAAACTCTCAACTATAACAAAATATAATCAACAAATGATACAATAATTATAAATACAAAGCTACTAACTTAAAACAAATATCACACACAAACGAAACCAAATTACAATTCATAAATGATACAACATTCTTCTTCCAACAAACAATTAAATCATACAATAAACATACTTAACCAATATATTAATAATACAGATAAAAAACTAAACTTTTAATTAAAACTTAAATTTAATAAATTAAAAAAATTACCCCGCATGTAGAACGGACTAAATCCTAGTAGGTTTAATTATTTTTATGTCAACAAACCTAATTCATAGAAATATAAAAATCTTAAATATTTAGAAATGTGCAATAAAATTAGATTAGAAAAATAAAAAAATAAAAAAATAAATTTAATAGTTTAATAGTTTTAGTTTGATGGTTTTAATTTAATTTTAATAAAATGTTTCTAATATAAAAAGGTCAGGTTTGACTTTTCTAGGTTTACATTTGTAAAAAGGCCATCAGCTGCAAATGCACATCGTGCGTTTAAGTACTTAAAAATCGATCCACTGAATTGATTTACTGCAGGAAAAATGTACCTAGAGCAATCAAAGACGTAACAAAAAATTAAGGGGAGGATTCAATCAATCTTTGATGTATAAACTCAACCAATAAATTCTTTTGTTAATCCTTCAGCATAGAATTCTAAATAAGTAGATCAATTCAATCCCTTGACAAAGATCCTTTTGCTAACAACTAAACCAAAGCTAACTCCCATTAGTGATCAAGCAATTAACAAGCATAAATCATGAGTTCTATTAAGCCAAAATACTTCCTAGTCAACCATTCTCATGTGTATAGCAAGTAAATCTTTTAAATGATTGGTTCAGGCATTTCATTAAACACTTTTGATGCAGAGAAAGCCTAAATTCGAAATCCAAGTGATCAGCAAAGATTAAGTATTAAGAACATCAAACAAGAAATGATATATCAATATTACGCACTAAACATCAAGGATCACCCACTAAATCATCATGTATCTAACCCATTGATGTAGGGTGTTTTGCGTATCTCAATCCCCAACCTACACTAGTCATTGTAGTATTGAGTTTATCAATCCATAGGGAGTTGTTGAATACAAAAGAGTTGCAAGCAGAAGTCTTTAAGTCAAGCAAGCAGAGAGATTTTTGTTGCTTAAGCAACTGAACTAACAACCTAAAGTGATCATACACCAAAGAGAACTCAAGAAGAGACAGTTTAGCAATGATCAAAGAAGCAAAACAGTCAATCTTTGATGTACAAACTCAACCAATAAATCCTTTTGTTAATCCTTCAGCATAGAACTCTAAACAAGTAGATCAATTCAATCCCTTGACAAAGATCCCTTTGCTAACAACTAAACCAAAGCTAACTCCCATTAGTGATCAAGCAATTAACAAGCATAAAGCATGAGTTCTATTAAGCCAAAATACTTCCTAGTTAACCATTCTCATGTGTAAGGCAAGTAAATCTCTTAAATGATTGGTTCAGGCATTTCATCAAACATTTTTGATGCAGAAAAAGCCAAAATTCGAAATCCAAGTGATCAGCAAAGATTAAGTATTAAGAACATCAAACAAGAAATGATATATCAATATTAAGCACTAAACATCAAAGATCAACCAATAAATCATCATGTATCTAACCCATTGATGTAGGGTGTTTTGCGTATCTCAGTCCCCAACCTACACTAGTCATTGTAGTATTGAGTTTATCAATCCATGGGGAGTTGTTGAATACAAAATAGTTGCAAGCAGAAGTCCTTAAGTCAAGCAAGCCAGAGAGGTTTTTGTTGCTTAAGCAACTGAACTTACAACCTAAAGTGATCATACACCAAAGAGAACTCAAGAAGAGACAATTTAACAATGATCAAAGAAGCAAAACAGAGTAAATAAATAGAGTAAGGCAAATTCAAAATTCAGACAAAGATAAAACAAGTTCCTAGATGTAGTTATTGATTTTGGGGGAATTCAGAAGCTAAGTTAGGTTGTTACAAACACCATTGATCAAGCAAACAAGCTAGCAATGCTGGTTCCTAGACATATAGTTCATAAACAAGCAAGCTAAGTCCAATCTCTTGATAAATAGCCCTTTGCTAAACACTTTAACAAGAACTAACTCTCATTAGTGCTAAAACATTCAACAAGCATTGAGAATCAACTTTATTCATGTCAAAATACTCCTCAAACAGTCAATCTCTTGAGTTAAGGCCAGTAAATCCTCTATTAAACAAGATCAGCATTTCATCAAACACTTGGTGGGCATGAGAGAAAGCCTAAATCTAAATTCAAGTGATCAAATTAAATCTAGCTTAAGAGCAGAATAATAGAGAGAAACCCATGTTATTAAGCAATCACAAACCTTAAATAAGCTGCTAAATCCCTCTAATCTACCACATCTAAGAACCCTAAGCAAACTACTCACTAATAGCCATGTTTAACACCAAATCACAAGAGGAAAAGATGCTAATCATAATTAAAAGAGAGATTAAGAAAAGATTAAAGGCAAATACAAGCTTATATTGAATAAAGCAAGAAATTTGTCTTACAAACTCAAAGAAATCACTCAAGAACAGTAGATTGACAAGACTTTTCAAAAATTCCCAGAAAATGAGTATTTATAAATAAAGAGGAAAGCCCTAAAAGTAATGGCAGAATGGTAAATAAAAGCAGCTTTGGACTGGGATCTTATCGGTCTAATGTGACCGATAGGGTGATCGATAGGCTTTCTATCGGTCTAGAAGGTGACCGATATGGTGACCGAAATACACACGGTATACTTATATCGGTCACTTTTTTGACCGATAGCCTGATCGATAGCTTCTCTATCGGTCACTCCTTGACCGATAGCCTTCGTGCCTTGACCGATAGGGCTTGCAGAAATCGTCTGCCTTGGTTTCTCTTGCTCCATAAGCACCTAAAAACACCCTTTATGCAAAAAAATACAAACTACATCCTAAATGCAACCTAAGTCTAAAAGGAGAAGAAAATGGGACAAAAGATAAGGAAGATATGAAAAAGAGAACAAAAACATGCACTAAATGCAAGCCTAAATGATGT